GTCCTGATCTCTCTTTTTTTTGGGGGGGGGGTGATCGTGTTCTGGACCTGAACTGTGGGCCTGGACGCTGTCCTTCAGCTCTTCAGCTCACAGCTAGCACTCTACCACTTGAGCCACAGCACCACTTGCGGTTTTTTTTCTTTTTGCTTATGTGGTTCTGAGGAATCAAACCCAGGGCCTCAGGCATGCAAGGCAAGTGCTCTACCAATGAGACACCTTCTCAGCCCCTGTCCTGATCTCTTTTGCTCAAGGCTAGCCCTCTACCATCTTGAGTCACAGCTCCACTTCCTGTGTTTGAGTGGTGAATTAGAGACAAGAGCCTTATTATGGGGACATTTCTGCTTGGGTGGCTTTGAACTGCGATACTCAGATCCTCAGATCTCAGCCTCCTGAATTGCTAGGATTATAGGCATGACCCATCACTACCTGGCAAGTGTGTATTTCTTGTAAAAGCACAGACTATATGACATGTATAAGTTTGACTAAATTGGACCTTTCTACCACTAAACTTACTGGTGTAATACAGCCTGTGTCAACCTGATGAGATTGATTTGGGAAGAGAAAAGAGGAGGAGGGAGAGTGGAGGAAGGTGAGTCTGATCACTATGCATCATTGTATAACAAATCAATGTTAATAAGAAAACAAAAACCAACAGGCAGCCTGTGAGATCTAGAGAGCCTCAGAGGAGTGTTCAAACTCACGAATGCAATGCCACCCTACAAAATTAAGAAGAGTGAGGGAAGGGGTGTGCGAGAATGCTGAAAGGGATGACATTGATGAAGATTCATCATATCACAAAATACCTTGATAAATGGCAACTCCTTTGTAGAACTACTTAAAAAGAGTAATAACAATAACAATAGCAAACAATTTTGTGGATAGGGATGAGGTTGCCAATGAATAAGTGACTTGTATACACACAGAATATCCCTGGTCACAGATACAGGACACAGTCCCTCCCTAGGCAGGTGCCCACTGGAGTGTTTACTTACTCATTTTCCACATCCTGGATAGTGTTAGGGAGAGGCCGGTTTCTGGTTTCTGGAAGGCAGAGGACTGCAAGGACAGAAAGGATGGGGAAGGCTCCATAGAGAATCCAGGGCAGGTGGGGAGAATACACTGCTAAGGTCATGAAGAGAGGCGCCATCACTGCCCCTAATCTGCCGAAAAGTTCACGGATTCCTGCAATGGTTGACCTTAGATTGCAAACAAAATAATAAAGAAAGTATTTAAGAACTTTACTTGTATATTTTCTTTTTCTTTTTCACATTTTTTCTTTTTTTTGGATATGGGTCTTGAACTCTGAGCCTGGGAGCGACATGTCCTTCAGCTCTTCAGCTCAAGGCTAGCGCCCTACCACTTGAGCCACAGTGCCACTTCCTCCTTTTCTTTTTTTAAAGCCTTGATCTTCCTATGTAGACAAGGAGGAGACTGTCCTGACTTGCTCTCATAACTTCTTGGATTTCAGGTATCTGACATCATGCCTTCAAAAGTAAATTTTTTTATTGTCTTCATTTCATTTTGGAAACAACACAATAACGTTATTAAATACATAGGCTCTGGCAGCAAGTTGTCAATTGTCAAACTTACTGCTAATGATTTATAACTCTTAGTTTCATTATTCTTAAAATAGGGATACCTACAACACTGAATGAATGATTTAGATGGAGCATCTCTCTCAATATAATACAGGATGTATACTCAACTTACAACCCACAGTTAAACTTTTTCTTCTAGTCTTAGGGCTTGAACTCAGGGTGTGGGTACTGTCCCTGAGCTTTTCTCTGAAGACCAGTCCTCTACTACTTGGAGCCACAGCTCCAGTACTGTCTTTCTTTGGTTAATTGGAGATTAGACTCTTATGAACTCTTGCCTGAGCTGGTTTCAAACTGTGATCTTCAGATTTTAGTCTCCTAAGCAGCTAGGATTACAGGCATGAGCACTGAGAGTCAGCTTTCAATTAATTTTTATTTTATTTTTTTCATTTTTTTGGGGGGTTCTGGTCGTGGGGCCTGAATTCTGGGCCTGCGTTCTGTCTCTCAGCAATTCAGCTCAAGGCTGGTGCTCTACAACTTGAGCCACAGCGCCACTTCCAGCTTTTTTCTTTTTGCTTATGTGTTGCTGAGGAATCGAACCAGGGCCTCCCTCATGCATGCAAGGCAAGCGCTCTACCACTGAGCCACCTTCCCAGCCCCTCAGTTAATTTTTATGACTAGCAATGTGCCATGTCCTTTAATGAAGTCATACTGTTCCCTTTTTTATTCATGTTTTTTGTAAAAAGGAGTTAGTATTGTGATAATTCTTACATTATGTGATATATCCACAATCTACCTTAATCTCATTTACCCTGTTTTATTCTTTCGTTTTGTCTTTTCTTTTTTTTTTTAGTACTGGGGATCGAACCCAGGATGTTGCACTTGCTAGGCAAGCGCTTTGCCACTGAGCTACAGCCAGCTGTTTCATTCTTTCTTATCTTCCCTCTCTCCTTTTTGAAATAATTTTAACACCTTTCACCATTTCTTTTCATTATATACACATAAAGGATTTCAGCCATAATCACCCCCATCTCCTTCTCATTAACGCTTCCAATGTTTGCTGGTTAATTAATGATTATTTATGAGTGTATGATTAACTGGATTGTTTTTTGCTGTTTAATTCTTTGAGATCTTCATATGCACTGAATATTAATCCTTTATCTGATTAACAGTTTAAATGCATTTTTTTTCCATTCTGTTGTCTCTCTAGTCACCTGGTAATCATTTCTTTCACAATTCAGAAGTCTTGTCTCAATTCTTTTTTTGGGGTGGGGGTCGGGTCTTGGGCCTGAACTCTGGGTCTAGGCACTGTCCCTCAGCTCTTCGACTCAAGCCTAGCGCTCTACCACTTGAGCCACAGCGCCACTTCCAGCTTTAACTTTTTGCTTACGTGGTGCTGAGGAATCGAACCAGGGCCTCAGGTATGCAAGGCAAGCACTCTAACACTGAGCCACCTTCCTAGTCCCTTGTCTCAATTCTTGATTCTACTTGCTGAGCAATTAGAGTGTTATTCAGAAAGCTATCACCTATGAAAACATCTTTGGTTCTTTGCCTGTGCTTTCCTCATTCAGTTTCACAGTTTCAGGCCATAATTAGTATCTTGATCCAGTTTATATTGAATTGATTTTTGTAGGGAATGAGAGATAGTAATGTACTTTGAATTGCTGATATTTATTTATATATTGTGTTTCCCCAACTATTTGTTAAAGAGGCTATCCTTTTTGATTGTAAGTTTTTCCCCTTTGTTTAAGATCAGATGGCCAGAAGTTGTGTGTTTTTTTCCTGTGTCTTCTCTTCTCTTCTGTCATCTAGGTGTCTACTTTTTGTGTTGGTATGATGTGTTTTTTGTTACTGTGTCTCAATAGTGTATATTGATTTTGGGAAGTATGACATCTCTAGCAGTGTCCTGTTAGTTCTGGATTGCTTTGGCTAGTTAAGATCTTGTGCAATCTTGTGTAATCTCATGAACCTCAGGATTGATTATTTTCTGTTTCTATAAAATGATATTGGAATTTTGGAACAGTAGTTCACCACATTATTTATTCTCCTGATTCAAGAACAGGGGAGATCCATTTTCTTTTTATCTTTATTGGCTTCTTTAAAAAAAAATAGTACCACCCAAGCATAAGCAGCCAGGGACAGCAGTCAGGCCCTGAGATGAAGTCCCAGGACCAGCACCACAAATTAAACTGATATGTGTCATCTATGAAAACATCTTGGCTTCTTTCTTAAAATGTATTATTTTTATTAGGCTTTACTTGCCAGGTGTTTAATTTGTGAGGCTATTGCAAGTGCAACTCTTTTCTTTCTGACCCTCATTGTTATTAGTAAATAGAAAAACAATTGATTTTTCTTCTTTCCTGGTTGTTGTTGTTTTGTTGTTGGTGGTGGTTTGGGGGCTTGAGCTCAAGGCCTCTATTCCTCAAGGCTACTACTTTAAGGCACAGTTCCACTTCTGATCCTTGACTTTACAGCAAATAACTTTATTTTTTCCTTCTTAGTCCAGTGTTGCCTATCAGTTTAAACATATAGCCTTTATTATGTAGACATATGGTCCTTCTAAATATTTTAATGTTTTATTATTTTTTTGAAAGTTGAGAAGTTTTAAGTTTGCCCCCACAATAAATGTCATTAGTTGAGAAGATCTTCTCTGGAAGCAGATTAGGTTTTATTTTGTAATTTTTAAGTGTTATGGAGCCCAGGATATCTTAAACTTGAGAGACAGTACCTCACTACAGTTGGGATGAGCTCCATCGAGTGAATTGAATAGGCTGTGAAGCCAGAGGTATTAGCACCAATTCCCAGAGTTGCTAAAACCATGCGCAGGGTCTGCTGAGTTTCTGTAGAGAGGAAGACACATCAGAGGCAGGCATACTTGACTGGAGAAATCTGTCTACCCCAAACAATTATGAGAAGTTCTATTGGAGGGATTTGCTAGCTAGAAACATATGATAAACAAACAGAACCTAGGAGAAACTATGTAACCATGAGCTAGTGAAAGCAGACTCTAGTATGCTTGGGCTTAAGCACTGAATGAAGGAATGGAAAATATTTGCTGCAACTCTCCCTGCCCATTTGAGTTTTATCAGACATGGCAGAGGCAGGAAAAGTCAGAAAATGCTCTTTTTATTGTTGTTGCTGTGGTTGTTGTTCAGGATGTGTAGGAATACATGGATAAAAATCCAAGGAGTTAATGACTCATGCCTTCAACAGTTTAGAACTAAGAACAGGAGATTTTTCTTGACATAGGACAGGTATTCCAACAGATGTACTAACAAGAGAACTGGATTCCGTTGGGGGTGAACTTTGTGAAGAAAGCAGGATGTAGATAACAAGCCAGGATTTTAAAATCTTAACATTATGACTCCTATGAGAAAGCTAGTGCTGTGTTGGGAATCACTGACACAGAAAATGGAAAAAGTTTTGAAACCTAGTAAAAGTAGTCAAAGATATGATTAAAAACTAAGGTACTCTCAGAGGAGAGCCGGCTGGCAGCAGGATATAGAAGAAGTATACAGTTCTAGCTTCTTCAAATACATTCCTGCCGTGAGAACATGATGGAGGGGACCAATGTAGTCCCCACAATCATCACTTAAAATCATGCAATTAATATAGTAAATTGTGCTGGGTGAGTTTCTTCATCTATTTGCTATTTAGGAATATATTATAAAACAGCAACTGGATTATACCGACTCAAGAGGTGACAAAAATAAATGTACTCTTACCTGACTTACACAATCATAACCCCGCTTATATCTCTTTTATAAGAAAAAAAATTAAATACCATACTTAGGTTAGTATCTTGTCTTTTTCCTATTGTATTCTTTCTCTCTACCTGAAGGCAAGGGATTTTGTTGTTGTTGTTCATTTTTTGTTTTTTGTTTTTGTTTTTCTAACTCTTATTCCAGTGGCCTGGTGTTCCTGGTACATGCCTGAAATTCTAGCTATTTAGAAGGCTGAGATCTGAGGATGGCAGTTCAAAGCCAGCCTGGGCAGGAAAATCCATTAGACCCTTATCACTGATTAACCACTACAACACTGTAAGTGATGCTATGGCTCAAAGTGG